ACAGACATATGGTAGAGAGGCAAGGCAGACAAACTAGAGGGAAAAACTGTACCAGAAACATGAGCAAGACCTCTACCCTCTTACTGCTATACCTGACTGATAGTCATGGGATGAGAATAGGTGCAATCATTTGAGCCTTTCCCCTTCCTTATCTCCCTCCCCTCCCAAAAGAACACCAGGGCTGCTATATGTAGAAATAAAAAGTCAAGCAATTAGTACAGTGCCGGTAACGCAGCAGACATTCCACAAATACTCCCTGCTGTTCCATTTCATACGGAAGTTGCAGGGAAAGCATTTGTTCAAGCTTGTCCACTTCCTAGCCATGCTTCCTGAGACTGTCATTCTCAAAAAGGTAGAACAATCAAATCAGTCACATCCATAAGCCATATAGATATGACGATGTAACTGTGTATATAGTTAAGTTATAATACACAGATAACAAGAAAAAAATTATGAATGTTAATAGAAAAAATATTCTCAAGACATTTTTCTGTGCTATAGAAATGGCCTTAATTTCACATTTCTTAGGCAGCTATTATTAATACCTTCATCTGGCATTATTAGGAGAAAGCAGAGTAATATTTCTATCCTTGGGTATATCTGACATGAAAATAACTGACAAAGGTAGGTCAGAATCCCACAGAATGGCAACTTCTAAATGTTAGGTGTCTTATATTGAGTTATAAATCCTGATGAGACAAGCGACAGGGTCCTCCGAAAGTCTGAAATTCATTAGGGCAATCCCAATTTGTTTAGTTAAAAGCAGCAACAAGGTAGGAAACAGCTGGGGATGCACTTTATGTGTTTCTGGCTATCCCAATGTACCTTAGGTAAAAACCGAAGGCAGCATGTTCCTATTCGTTTGGCAAGGTCTGCTTTCACAAAAAATATCCTCTTCTCACCTCCACTCCTGGTATCCTCTGGAATGTGTCCTTCATTCTAAAGGATAGAGGCGTCCTTACGGAGATCAGAGAATTGACTAGAAGTCAACTGAGAGTTTGTGGCCTTCTCTCTATTCTAGCACAGATGCAATTTCTCTCCCTGGGTCACATGTTTTTGGCAAAAATGACTTAAAATGTGCTTTTTCTATCTAATACACTAAGCAGAAACCACTAGGCAGTGTAGGGCTGACTTTTTGAGTTTTCTGGGATAAAATTATTAGCTATTTCATTTGGTAATTATTTTTAAAAAAAGCAAAATACTTCTTTAATTCAGCAACTATGCTTGTATTTATGTGACACCTATGTATTGGTTTCCCATAGAGAAAAACTGTTGTAAAAAATTTAAGGTCCAATTTAAAATAAATATTATAAAAAAATATACTTTCACAATTTAGAGTAAGGTGATTGATACATTTGTTTCCTTTCTAAATGATCCTTTTAGTAATTTCTAAAATATTCTTTCACATAAAAATTATCTTCTCAACAAACACTTATTTCCTATTAAAGTTATAGCACAGTGTCCTACTGAGAAATTTTAAAAAACTGTCAATCTCAACTTCTTACCTGAAATTTTTCTTCTTTTAAGATTTTGTATAAATGAATTCACCTCATGAATGACAATGGAACAATGCTATACATTCAGGAGGCAAAAAGGAAGACAATTTCATGACTTCAAGTACAGAATTTCAGGATGTTAAAATCATTTGATATCAGAAGAAAGGATTAAAAAATCAACAACAAACCACTGTCACCCAACCAACTTTCCCCCTGGCCTGCCTCCCATTCCAATAGTGACAGAAAATCAGGACCCCAACAGGAAAGCTGCTGCAGTGCATGCTTCAGAGTTAAATAAAAACATGGAAGACCGCAGCTCACACGTTAATGAATCAATTTAATTTCAACAGGGCAAAGAAATGAGCTTTAAAAGAGGGTAGTGGCGGCAGTTAAATTTTGAGTGTCCCTTTTAGTTCCACCTGGGGGGAAAAAAGTGTTAAGTTTTTCCTCCAACTGCTTCCCAACAGTTCAATGACAGCAAAACATCCAATGTATGATGGTGCTGGATGGAGGTCTTCTACAGGGACAGGGTGGGATGCAACTTCGTGAGTATTTTTTAGTCTGCAGAGAGAAAGGGGAAGAGAAGGAGAAATGGGGGGGGAGGGGAGAGAGAGAGAGGGGAAGAGAAAGAAACAAAAACTAATTTTCCAGGCAGGGAAATACTTATAAAACCTTTTATGTCAAAGTTAGGATTTCACAACATAACATACTAATGCAAAATCCAGTAGCACCTGTAAGATTTAAGTAAATGCTGTCATCACTTAAATGCTTTTAAGCATCTGTAAAAGACTGGAAGGAAAAAAAGATAAAGTACATTCTCCAGAGAACAACAAATGTATTTCAAAATAAAAACTGTATTTTTGTTTTTCCTTTTTTTCTTTTTTTTGTTTTTGTACAAGGATTCATAGTTCTCATAGAATAACTTATACACAATGGGATCAACCTTTGCTCTCCTTCGTGTCACCTCAAGTCCACATGTTCAGGCTACAGTCCCCAACACTGTTTTCTGACAAATATATTACCACAGTTTCATCTAAATATAGATACATCATATAATACTTGTCTCTGGGAAAATCAAATTTTAATATGCAAACGTTTATTTATATAATACAGAAATGGAAAAAACTACAGTAGGTACACAATCTAATTATGACTTGTAGATGATGATTTCTAGATATTTTCCTACTGTAAATGAATGTTTAAAATAGTCTTAAGAAGATTTTATTTATATGTGCACTTGTGTCCACCTTATCCCATATACTGTACATGTCTATTGACAATCTGGGAATTTAAAGGTGCAGCCCTCAAGAAATTGTTAAATCACTAAAAAAAGAAACAATTAGGCTCTATTGGACAAGGAAAACACTCACAAAATTTCCAATTTTAAATTTCATATCAGTAGGAAAATATTAAAAATAATTTTCTGTATATACATATGGGTATATGTATATATTGAATTACACATATGTCTCACATTATCAATACAATTCAAGTGGAGACATTTTGGTGAGTTATTTCCCCATTAAATGACCACTATGTCAAAATTTAAAAATATTTTATTACATCATTAAAATAATCCACTTATCATTTCAACAGCTTACACTGTTTTTTAAAATTTTTTTTAACTCTTCATAACTAAATTCCCTGATCCCTAGTGTTAAATCCCCTATTTAAATTAAAACCTGGTGCTCTTTGTTACTCAGAAACTGATGGATAAAATCACATCTACTTCAAAATTCCATCAATCAAATAAATTTTATTACCTGATTTATCAGAGAAATATCTAAGCTCTGACCATGTGTATCTCTATTATTCTCCCTATAATAAATAGGTGAGGAAAATATCCTAAAATAGATGGAGATAACTTACAGGATGTTATAGCACATATAATACATGATGATTAAGTGTCTGTTATAAACTTTTCAGAAACATCTGAAAACTCACTTTAGAAACTAACTTTAAAAACAAATCATTTATTTTTCACTCTCATATAAATTAATATGTATGTATTTACATACATACACATACATGTAAAACAAAATTGTCTAGAGTTGAGTAGCTGTTTATGAGTGAAAAAAAATGGCTACAAATTGATTCATCAGCTTAATTTTGTACTTAACAATTCAATCATTTTGGGGGACAAACAAAAAGTCAGTGCATTTATAGACTCCATAGAGTCAGATACTCAAGCATACACTTTAAAAAACACCCTCCTCAACATCACAGGCATGGTACAGCAAGAATATATGTACTCTGATGCAATTCCTACTCCATAAGCAGACTGGATAGCACTCGGCTTACTTTTAAAATAGCTTCGTAAAAGAAATATATCATATAAAGAAACGCATGTTTGCTAAAAGTCTTTTAAAATTACATCAAAACAACATTAAAACCTGTTCACTGAGAAGAGCCTATTGAATTTAATTCCTGTTTTGAAATGCCTAGTTAACAGTTCAGAATATTGCCTTGTAAGGTTTGAATAAAGATGTGATTGATGTGAAGACTCAGACAGAGCACACGACTCCATCTCCATCTGCCACCATCACAATTCAGATCTATAGTCCTCTGATTGGCTATTTGATGTAAATGGATCCTCTTTAAAACAGCTATACACCTTAAAATTATCTATAATAAACAGTTCCCCAATAACCATTATTATTCGTAAATTGAAATGCATTGATCATTCAGAAAAAATTTCTTGCAAAATATATAAATAAATGTAACTGCATATTCTGTAAATATACTTAACATTGCTAGACCAGACCGTCGATGACGGGCTGCTGTATTTCAGTACTGTGTGTCAAATTTATTAGAAATTTAAAAAGAAAAATTTCTGAGGGACTCAGCTGCCTTCGTTAATTGGCTTTAAAGTATATAATAAAATGGGAGACAATATCTTCTCATAAATACATGGAATCAATATGGAAAAGTAAACTATACAACAGACAAGATTAGAGAACACCAGAGTGTACTAGAATAGTCACCAGAGTGAAGTATCTTCCAGCACAAAAAAAGGGAAGAACTCTATACACCCAGTTATAGTATATTTCAATTAAAGATGCGGCTCTCTCTCACTCCTGGCAAGAATTAATTGGTAATGGCACTGCTTTTCAGCAGTGCAAAAATATCCTGAGAAATTATTCAGATTACAACAAAAGACAGGGCTTTCATCACTAAGCTTCTGCACAAAACACAGCTCTAGATATCGTAAATAAATTAATTTAAAAAGCAGATAATCTTCACTGTGTTGAACACAAAAAGGGGATGTGACCCAGACATTGTTAATTCTCCCATTGGCTAATATCAGAAAAAAGGATTGCATTAAGTGTCTATTTATAACTTTCTAGTTAACTATGGCCAATAATATACATGGAGGTAATTTGTAGTTCAAGTTTTTCATCTCATTTTATCCCCAACTAGCTACAAGCTGAATTCTAAAATTTACACTGAAATATACAATTCCAATTTTCAAAAGATCCTCCTCCTGGAGGAGTGATATTCAAATTTTTTGTGCAATCTTGATGCAGAGCCCAAACAGTCCTATGAAGAGAGACAGTGTATCTTTAATCAATTGGCACTGAAATTTTACTTTCCTTAACTGCATTCTAGTAGCTTGGCCAAGTTATCTCGTAATTCTGTTAGTTCAAATATTTTTCCATCCAGAATTTCTAAGAGTGTCTTCAGGTTATTGCGAAAAGCTTCTTGTTCATTCTGACTTTTCTCCAGACGTTGCTCTAAGTCAGACAGTTGTCCCTCCAGGTCTTTGTTCCGAATTTCTACTTCCTTCAGAAACAAAAGTGTAATATATATATATATGTATATATATGTCAATTCATCACTTAAAAACAATACAGCTTTCTGTTATTACTAATCTTGTGGCAGTCAATGCAGTTTGACAATCAGGATGAGTTTTGGAATTTCAATTTAACACAATTTAAGGAGATTTCAAATGTGGCCATCTCAGAGATCCATGTGGTTTTACTGACTGGCTTGTTTATGAATCTGTCTAACCACCCAACAAAAATCTAATGCCTTTGTTCCAGGTAATACTTTAGGTACTTCAAATACCAAGAGAGGATTGAGACCCATTTTATGGATCATTTACATCTCATTTTTATTGTGCTCACCTACTTTTCCTATTGTCCAATTGTTAGCAATCTCAGGTTAAAGCAGGCAGATGAAAAAAAAAGAAATAACTTTCCTTTCTTATTGGCAATTCTGGACAAAGATTTCGAGAAGAAAATGACTCTTTAAAATGAGATTTTAGGATCCTCTGAATATGTTAATTATTTTTTGCCTTGCCTCAATATCAAATGAATGCATGTGTAGAGAACATAGCTCAACTGCTACAAACTGTAGTGAAGACATATAATAACTGTACATATTAGAGAATTATAAAGCTAACAGCTTCAATATACTGTAAACCAAGGAAAGAAAAAAGTGATAAAAGGGAATCAAATGTTCATGTCATGAAAAAAATGTTTAAAAACATATTTTTGACACAGAAAACTCTACTATACTTAAAAATTATTTAGAAATTGTCATTGTTTTAAATAATGCTTCTAAGCATGACAAAGTGAGTCTAAAAAGATAAAATGACAAAAGTTGAACTAATGATTTAATTTTGGTTAAAAAAATCAGACTCAGAAAAATGGCAGAAAGCCAATTGTTACACTTTCAATAAGCTATTCAGATAAGCAACGAATTGAAAGTTATACAACCTTCCTGGAAAACTCACTTTTACATTTGAAAGGAATTAAGTGACTGACACAAATTATATTCAAATATGTAAATTATATCGGACAATGAAAACATTTTGGTGTTACACAACAAGAATCGGCCTCAGAAAATAAAATGTTTCAAATGTTAATACATCATTTAAATGTACATCTTTAAATAAATTCTATTAAGTCTAAAGGACAGTGGAAATTTTCTTTTCATTGTATTACTGAAAGACAATCTGGTAAATGTTAAATGAAAAGAATAAAATACAAAGCAGCTCACTGAAACTGGGCAAAACTTTGTATGCACAAGAACAAACACACTAGGAATTAATGTACAAATAGGAAATAAAAAAATAGTTCTGGTGTTCAAATTATAGACTTTCTTTTCTCCAAAATTAATTTTTTCCCACAATATCCACAGAAATTAAACTTTCAAGGAAAAAATTGGAAAATTGCCTTGAATACATTTAAGAAAGTAATAACTCTTAGTTTACATTGACAGAGAAAAGAGCAAGGCTCAAGCAAGGATGCCACAGATGAGTTGCAACAGCCTGAGAAAACATAAGAAAGGAATCAAATAGTTATAATAATTTATAAAGGAAGAATTTAAAGTGTCTCAATCTAGGCCGGGCACGGTGGCTCACGCCTGTAATCCTAGCTCTCTGGGAGGCCGAGGCGGGTGGATTGTTTGAGCTTAGGAGTTCGAAACCAGCCTGAGCAAGAGCGAGACCCCGTCTCTACTAAAAATAGAAAGAAATTAATTGGACAACTAAAAATATGTAGAAAAAATTAGCCGGGCATGGTGGTGTGTGCCTGTAGTCCCAGCTACTCGGGAGGCTGAGGCAGGAGGATCGCTTGAGCCTAGGAGTTTGAGGTTGCTGTGAGCTAGGATGACGCCATGGCACTCTAGCCCGGGCAACACAGTGAGACTCTGTCTCAAAAAATAAATAAATAAATAAAGTGTCTCAATCTAAATCTCAAAGTATTTACTGTTAGATGTTAACCAGGTATGTTTCTAATCTCTTCCCTTTGAATAATCTGCAAGGTCAAGATTAGTACCTTGAGAACACAATCTGAAACTAATAAAATATTTATAAATTCAGAAGCCAAATACATGGAGGCTGCAAATTATGAGGGAGGAAACAGATCCTGAGATCAAATGCAAAAATTCCACTAATGATTGCACAGCATGCTCTCCTGCCTGCTTAAACAATAAGCTTAAGGATAGAATGTTTCCAACTATAAAAATAGACCAAATGTCATTCACTTGCAAACACCCACTTCACCAGGCACCACCCAGTTTGCCCTCTAAAGCCTTGCTAAAAATGAAAGGCTCCCTTGTTTCTTTGCCAATCAATGAAACATCCAAACATTTTCAATGGAAGCAAGCAAAACACAAAATTCCCTCAGCTAATAAAAGTGTGTTGTTCTCTCTAGAATGAATTTCCTACTCTAAGCCATCTCTCTGTTTGTAGGAATTCTACTAGCTAGATAACAAAAGGGATCTAATACAATGCTGATGGTGCTAGTCTATTTTTAGGCAGAGAGAATATGTTCCTAGAGCAAGAATAGACCTAGAGCACAGGGGCCAACAAGATGTAACTGAAGTTGCAGTTAGTGGCACTTCCTAATTGCCTTACTTTTTGTCCATATTTTCCAACCTTCTCCTTTTTCCCTTTCATTCTCCCTGCAAACTCATTTGTCTGCTCATAACCATTTTTCCCTACTATTTCCCTCCTTTCCTGATGTCAGGTACATACCAGGGACACTCAGAGAGAGGCATGCTTCAGTGCTCACAAAAGCACTATAGGCTAGAATTGCTAACTTCCTTTTGAATGCTTTAAAAGGCAAAAACTGAAAGTATAAAATCCTACTGGGCAGAAAGTCATGCTCTGTATTTGTTATACATGGAGCCTAAAACACTAGAGTGATTAAAGGAAAATTAAATAGTTCTGACCACTACCAATGGGACCAGATCAGCTTAATTTTCTATCAATTTAAAGCCTGCATCATTTAATCTAAATAAAAGATACAGAAAAATTGTCTGACATCTGATTCACATTGTAAGCTCTTATGAGTAAGATATATTATAGCCCTATTAACTGTTAACCTTTACATATAATAGGAATTAGAAATCAAGGCAAGTATTAATAATTCAACAGAAAAATGGGTAACAGATACACATATTTTGAAGAAGTTACTTAACATTTAGTTACTGAACATCTTCTAAGTACTAGACATTGGGGATAAAGCAGTAAATACAACAGGAGGGTACCTGTTTAATAGAGCATACATTCTAAAAGGAAGACACTGTTAACAATGTAAACAATGGATTTCTGGGTAGCTGAGTATGTGACTGTGTACATTGAAATCTACCAACCATCCTCCCAAAACTATATAAACAAATATTTGGAATGAAACCAGGCAAATTCCATGACTTCAGTGTAACCAGAAGATAGAGAACAATACAAACATCGAATTAGCTGTAATCAGAAAACATAAGCACCAATTTCCCCTTGTAGAGGGAAGAGAAGGTTGTGGCGGGGCCAATGCACTTAAGAGTGAAGAGAAGGATGAAAGGCCTAGGATTGAACTATGGTAAGCTTCAGAAACAGGAAGACCACCATGAGTGCCAAAATACTGAAAAAACTACCCTAGAGCCATAGAGCAGACTACAGAAAGGATTTCACAGTGTATACATGAAACTTGAGGACGTAGTCTTAGAAAGGCAAAAGACACTGCCGAGGAGAAGAAGGTAAAAGGAAAAGAAAGGACTGTTTTGAATAATACAGTAAAGGGAAAAAGAAGCAAGATAGGGACATTTAAGATCTTGCATGACAAAAGAAAATTAAAATATTGTAGGGCACAATCTCTCTTCCCATTATCTTTGCAAAAGAGAGTTTTAAAAGTATGTATACATTCATCGATTGATTGACTGAAACAGGGTCTCGCTCTATTGTTCAGGCTGGAGGGCAGCAGCACTGTCATAGTTCACTATAACCTCGAACTCCTGGGCTCAAGCAATCCGTCTGCCTCAACCTTCTGAGCAGCTAGGACTACATGTGCACACCATCACATCTGCTAAAGGAAGGTGTTTTTGAACTAAGAATTTATAAACCATCCCAAACCGCCATTCTACTCAAACAATGCAAAGGTATAGCAAACTTCATTTACCCAAACTATTAGAAGAAAACAAAATATTCAAAACACTTCAGTAGATGAAAATTAAAAATCCCCCTCAAAACCAACTATGAGGCAGAAGAAAACTCTAACAGAACACTCTACTCTGAATAAAATATTTTCAAACAAGTATTCCAAAAAAGCTTGAATTAGATATTCAAAAAACTATGAATAAAAATGGGCAAAAAACCCCCTAAAAAACAGGAAAATTGATCCAACCCATGAGAGAAACAAAAGAAAAAAGGCAAAATTATATCAGAAATGAAGAATGAGTTATAAAGGTCTCCAAGGAAAAATAGATTTGAATAAAAACTATTTTTAATTCAATTTTTACTTATTATTTAAAAAAAATCCTAGAGAATGAAAGTGAGATAAAGTGGGGAAAATGGTTGGGGTTCTGGTTGAAACACAGAACAATAAAAGACAATCCAATCACATGATTAGAGCTCCTGAAGAAGAAAAATAACATACTAGAACAGAATGTTTAAAACTTTTATACAAGAAAACCTCCTAGAAATAAAGGACATAATATTATCCAAACAAACACTGGGGCAAGGAAATGCCAAATGCTTTGCCTTAGGATGGATGGGATTATGACTGATTTTTTTTAACCTGCTAAGTAAATTTTTCCAACTTTTTCTAAATTTTTTACAATGAGCATATGTTACATTGATATTTAGAAATATCCAAATATTTCTGAATATCAAAAACTTGTAAATTAGAAAAACTATAATATTCTTAATTTATCCATAATTATGAAATTTCTATCCACATTCATATCCCTAAACCAACTCCATGTACTACAATTTCAGAAGTTCCTCTACCATCCAAGGAATTTACTGATCCCAATTTTCTGGACTGAACTTATGAACAGAGGTT